CACACATACATATATATATATATATATATATATATATATATATATATATATATCCCTGAACATATGAGACTCCATATCCATAATACACTGTTGGTTTCCATGGAAGCTACTGCTTAGGACAAAAGCAGGTTGTGCTTTGATTCTAACAGTATATTCCTTGTGATATCATCTGTATATACAAAAAAAAAATGGCTGCAGGTTCTGAAGTCATTGTCCAGATCTCGTTTCTTGCCCTACAAGCAAACCCTGTATGCCTTTGTGGACAAGTACACAGTTACCTCCGAGATCTAAAATCTGTGAAAGGCGCCAGCTTTAGTGGTTTTTGGGTGTGTCTGTGTGTGTATACGTACACTCGATATGTATATGTGACGTGGGTTAACCGTATAATGTTGGAGTTTGATCCGTGTTTCATGTGTTAGCCGTGTTCTGTCTTCTTGAGAATAGATTTTGTTTTTCCCGCAATGGATTCCCCCTTGGATGCGGAAGTGGGTCCCACGGAGGATTTGTATTAAACCCTCAATCTGAGTTCCGGGGGATTTGGGCCACACGCGCCGTCGCCGGGGGAAAACGCCGGAAATATCTTCGGAAATAGGGATTCAACTTGACATTTTGATATGAGAGAGGCTCTGTTAACGAATATATGAGATGTGTAATAAAAAAAACACTGTTGGTATCCAAAAACACGAAGGAATAGAGAGTAACATGCCAAAGGGGTAAACATCATTCATCATTATCATCATCATCATCATGGGATATGTCGTAATGCTCTCCGAACATTACGAGGAAGCCAAGCCATCATTGGTTCGGTAGCTTCTGTCGGATGCCATGCCATGCCATGCAAATGTCAATGAAGTTCTCAGTCTACTGTTGTTTATTCATCCCGAGACGATCTCATCTTACGTTAACGTTTTAAATAACATGATCAAGTATGAAAACTTCTATTTTGGGCATATAATATATATATATATATATATACACATGTATATGTATAGATACACTTTGTTCATATCTCTCTTATGTCACCTTTTTTAATTTCTGTTTTCGGGTGAGTTGTGTCAAGGTGTCATGTTCATGTGCCGTATTAGAGAAGGGTAAGGGCTATTATACCCCAAACCCACCATATGGTTGCACCGTTCTAGCATCATGTACAATGTAATATGCGAACCCCACATGACATCGATGTTTCGTGGTCCGATCGATTTATTAAAAATTTCCGCCTTCAACATTATATATATATATATATATATATATTAAGAAAATATTATAAACATAACCATTGAACAATAAAGACATACATCTTCATTTCAATTCATTGGTTGGACTTCTTCTCAAACTTAGTTCGAATCTTTATTTTGAGAAAGATATTCACTTGGATTCTTCGATCTTTTGAAAGATGTAATTGGATCAAATATCCGATAAATTTTTGGATTATAAAAAAAATCATTGATTCGATTAGAGATATTCGAAATTAAATGTACATGGGAGATAGTAGTCACAATCATCTAGTACAAAAACGAAGAGAAGCAGAACCCGCAAACCACGATTGTCGTGACATGGCACTGCATGTGCTTCATTATGTGCACAATGGGGATTTTTCTCCAAAGAGCAAAGCCTTCAAACACAATCTCTTCACATATACACGTACATATGGGTATATATGTATGTATATAATATTATATAAGAGGGGTAATTCGTACAGCCAATGTTGGATGGAAAGTCATGTTCCGAGACAGCACATGCTCATGTGATGGGAGGCGCGTGGGTCCACGTGATCCACTCCCTTCTGTCTAAAGCCTCTCTCTTCCCTTAAAAAAAAAAATAAGCTAATAAACAACACTAGAGAGAATCTTTCCATCTTCATGTAACTCCAAACACTCCTCTCCTCTCTCTCTTCCCCCCCTTCAATAATTATATTCTCTGAATTCGTTTTTATCGTTTTGGTTCATGGAGTCCTTGTATGTACTATACATTGTGTTACATAAATTAGCAAGCTTTTATATGTTCATGTGAAGACGGTCGATTAACCTAAATTTTGGTTAATTCAACCGGTTTAAAAAAACGTAAAGTGTTTGTCCCGTCCCGAATTCAAATTTCAAATTTGGGGAGGGAACAAATAATCCAAATCAAATGACTGATTTATAGTCACGAAATTAATCTGGGTCTTTGGTGAAGGATGTCCGATTAAAAAAAATCGGTCGATTACAAAATCAAAATCAAGATAACCAATCATATGTACTTGTAAAAAAAAAATGAATATATTGTTATGGGTCTAACAAAAAGTATTTAAAAAAAAAAGGTGAGAACAGAACATCCTACCATGTGTGTTTTGTTGTGGCGTTTTACGTTCCCAAAAAAACAAGCATCCATTCCCATCTTTCCTTATCATTATTTATGTCTAATTTTCATTTTATTTTGGTTACATTACTTGCGAATTAAGCTAACGAAATAAATTACTTCGACCTATTTCCATAAATTTGGATTAAATAGAATCTAACATATCATATCATATACGAAAATTAATTTTTTTTTTAATTTATACAGACTCGTCCGAAAACGCAAACGAACAGTTAGACGATCCATGGGACGAGCCAACTAATCTCTCCGACGGCTGGGGTTTCCCTCCTGCTTTGATGACGTCGCTCTCTGGCCGGCCTCCCGCGTCAACGTGCCTAATCTCGTTGAGCATAGCCACCACGTCTCTCATCATGGGCCGATCCTCGGCCTTGTGGCTAATGCATAAGAATGCGACGGCTAGGGTTTGAAGCATCTCATGCATTATCGGGTCGGACCGACCACGGAACTTGGGGTCGAGAAGTTCTCCCGGTTCGTTTTTTCCGGCCAAGTGGTCCCGAACCCATTGACCCAAATGTGCACCGCCCGGTAGTCCCGGGTCCAACGGGTGTTTTCCCGTCAGAACCTCTAACAATACGATCCCGAAACTGTACACGTCGCTCTTCTCGGTTATCCGTTGGCCCGAGGCATGTTCTGTAATCGCAAAAATCACAAGATGGACTGTTAGATTCCTAACATTTAGACATAACCAACGTGAAATTACGAAATTAGATGGAGTTATTACTTACCAGGGGCCATGTACCCGTATGAACCGGCCAGGAGAGGTCGTTGGTTCGGTTTACTAGAATTGGTGTGACTGGTTATTACGGTTCTGGCTAAACCGAAATCGGCTAGGTACGGTTCGAACCGGGGGCCTAACAGAACGTTCATGGCCTTGACGTCGCCGTGGAGAATCGAGGGGACGCAGTCGTGGTGGAGATAAGCCAGCGCGTGGGCCACACCCAGAACGACGTCGTATCTCGCTTCCCAATCAGTGCCGCCGCCTTTTCCGGCGCCGTGAAGCAGAGAACTCAGGCTTCCGTTGGGGAGATAGTCGTAGAACAGGAGCTTCAAATTGCGGTTCGAGCCCCAACCCAGAAGTCGAATGATGTTCCTGTGTCGGATCGAACCGAGCGTGTTGATCTCGGAGTTGAACGCTCCGGTTTCTTCCGTCGACCACATCTTTTTCACGGCGAGGGTCTCGCCGGAGGGAATAGTGACGCGGTAGACGACGCCGGAGCTTCCGGTTCCGATTACGTTGGCAGATGTCAGATTCTTGACGATGTCGTCTACGGAGAAATCGAGTTTCTGATAAAGGGTCACTTCCCAAGAATCTTCTTCTTCGAGGAGACGCTTTCCGTCGATTCGGGCTCGGACCAGAGTGTAGACCGCGAGCAGGACGAGGACGGCGCTTGCGCTGACGAGGATCGACATGGTTAGTTTCATCGCTGATTTGTGTCGGCTCGAGGTTTCGAGGCTGTCGGATTGAGTTGAGATGCCATTGGAGATGTAGAGACCCTTGTTGGATGCGAGATCGGCGAGAGGGAGCTTCCGGAAGAACGGAGTGTTGGGCAATTCGCCGGAGAAATCGTTGAAGGAGACATTGAGAGAGACAAGGTTCTGCAGATTCGCTAAGACATTCAAGTTTCCGGCGAGTCTGTTGTGTGAGATGTCGAGAACTCCGAGTTTGATCAGGCCGGCGAATTCCGAAGGGATTTCTCCGACAAACCCATTGCAGCTGAGGTTCAGAGAGATCGCCAGAGACGGAATACGACCCAATTCGCCGGGAATTTCGCCGGTGAACGCATTGTCGCCGAGATTGAGAAGCTGTAGATTCCGACAGGACAATATTTCCCTCGGAATCTCACCGGAAAGACGGTTTCTTGCGAGATTGAGCTTTGTCAGCTCATTCAGCGATCCGATTCCACGAGGAAGAAGACCCGTGAGAGAGTTATCAGAGACGTCGATAAACTGCAAGCTGGTGGGGAGTGTATTCGGCAATGAACCCATGAGACCGTTCGAGTGAAGATCGAGAAACTCGAGGCTGAAGCATCCTGAGATGGACGGAGGGATGCTTCCGACAAGATGGTTGTTGCTCAAATCGAGAAAGTTTAGATTTTTCAGGTTACCCATCTCCGCCGGGAGATTTCCGGCGAGTCTGTTACCGTTTAGTCTCAGTCGGTACAGATTCGTGCAGTTTCCTATGTCGGGTGGTATGAATCCGGACAAGTCGTTGGACAGAAGCAGAAGCTTTGTCAGATTTCGTAACCGGAAAATATCTTTCGGGATCGAACCAGAGAGGCTGTTGTAAGAAAGATCGAGAGCTTGAAGCTCTTCACATTGGGATAGACTGTATGGGATGTTTCCGGTTAACTTGTTCTGCCACGCGAAAAACATCGTCAAGCTTTTCAGGTTGCCCATCAATGGCGGAATCTCGCCGGATATCAGGTTGTTGTCGATTTCCAAATGCGTCAGCTTCGTGCAATTCGCGAGTTCCTCAGGGATCGTTCCCGATATCTGGTTAACGCTGAGCTGAAGCTCCTGGAGATTCTTTAGGTTACCGAAACTCCTCGGGATGCTTCCGGTGAGGAGATTTTCAGACAAATCGACAAGCCAGAGATCGAGGCAGTTCCCGAGCTCGACCGGGATTGTCCCGACAAGATTGTTCTGCCATAGGAGCAGACTCTGCAACTTCTTGAGATTCCCAATGGTCCTAGGAATCGAACCCGAAATCGAATTCTGGTACAAGTATAGATTCTGCAGCTCAGCACAGTTGCCGATTTCTTCTGGGATCGGACCGGACAGGAGCGAAGTGTACAGAGCTATTGTCTGAACACGTTTCAGATTCCCGATCGACGCCGGAATTACACCGGAGAGACTCGTCTCGGCGAGACCCAACATCACAAGATTCTCGCAGTTACCTATCTCCCAAGGAATCTTACCTCTGAGATTCTTGTTCCCACCTCCACGGAGAACTCGTAGATTCTTCAACTCTCCGATTCTCCTCGGAATCTCTCCACTCAACTGGTTGTCGTAGAACGTCAGTTCGACGAGGCCGGAGAGATTCCCGATCTCAGACGGAATCTGTCCTTCGAGGAAATTCGTGTTCAGGTACAACATCCTGAGTTTCTTGAGCCTAAAGATTCCGACCGGGATTCCGCCAGACAGAGAATTATCGGACAGGTCGAGAACCTCGAGCCCCGACAAGTCTCCGAGCTCGTCGGGGATTGGTCCGGTGAGATTGACGCCGGACAAGACGAGGGAAGTGAGTGAGTTGAGTGACCGGAGACTCACCGGCGGCGGACCTTGCAAGTCCGCCGTGCCTTTGAGCTGAATCTCGGTGACTTGGCCTCTCCGGTTGCATCTGATCCCGACCCATTTGCAGGGACTGGAATCTCCGGCGGTCCAGGAAGCCAAGGCGGCGCCGGAGATGTTAAGTTGGGATTTCCATGACAAGAGAGCTTGACCCTGCTCGTCAATGGAGAAGCAGGGGAAGATGAAGAAGAAGATGGAAACTAGGAAGAGAACGAAAAAGAAGGAGAAGCTACGGTTTCGTGGCATCGGAGAAGAGATTCGAAGAAGGAGAAGGAGAGAAGTGTGCGTTGGGATTGTAAAGCAGAGAAGGCCATGGAGCTGTCTAGTTTTAGATTTTGTTTATAGAAATAAATAGAGAGAGAGAGAGAGAGAGAATGTGGATCCCAAAAAGTTGAAACAAAAATCCCTATCGTAAACTTAATTTTTTTTAAATTTTAATAAATGGTTAATGTTTTTGGGTAAATAAAAGAATATTAATGTTACATCTAATAAGGCCATCAGTTTTGAAACCAACAAAATTTCCTAAGGGCATGAATAAAAAATAATCTGTAATTATGGGAACTAAAAAAAGGAAATTATTGCAAAAAATATATATAAACAAAATTATAAGAATGAGAGTGGAAAATGACATAAGGCTAAAAGGAGAATGAGATGTCCATCTTTCACTTTCACTGCACCAACTTCATGGTTTTGCCACCCCCACCTCTTCTCTTCCCCCTTCTCTTCTTTGTTATTTTTCGTTTGTCTTTTCCAATATGAAATAATACTAATAATCATAATAATAGAATGCATTTATCAATTAGTAGTTTACATGGTTAGAAGAAAAAAAAAAGTAAGCGAATTTATTATTTTTAGGAAGTGGGTATATGGTGGTGATTTATAATAATAATAATAAATAAATAAATAAATAAAGAAAATCAGAGATCTACTTTGGGTCTGAATTCGATAACTAAAAGTAAAACAAAGGAATCTGAAGAGTGAAATGCACATGCAATTCAAGCCCGGAATTTATGTGAAGATTAAAATATGTTTAGTTAATCTTCTGCCACGTCTGTTCATCTTGTCGGTCCATTTCTCTAGCTGTAATACTCATGCATACACCATCATGCATAAATGCTTATTATATGCATTATACACATATCACAATTTGTTTACACTAATTTTTTTCCAAAATAATAACAAAAATGTATCGTATATTTGAATTTCTTTGAGGCTGCCACAATTTTTCATGATTAATTTTGCCTGTTTCTACACTTATACAAAATGAATTATCGCATTTAAAACATAAACCTTGATTTTTGTGACATTTTAATATTTATGATATTCGATTTCAAATATTAGATTCTCAGAAAATATAGTCCAAGCGGTAGATTTTAAGAAAATAAAAAAAAAATAAATGGAGAAAAATGATAAATTCAAGTTCATGAGTCAAGCATCATCATCATGTCATGAGATTGAACACCCATCTCATGACACATGCCATTGTAGCTACTCCAAAATTTTATATATATATATATATATATATATATATATGGACCATTTCCAATATTGTTGTTTATTCTAAAAATAATTAGTTTTTTATAGTGGGTATTCTAATTGCCGTAAATTGCATACGAAATTGGCGATATATAGTAACTATGTTCATTTCATTATTTGGACCGTTTGTTACTTTATAGAGCACAAATATTCTTTTTCATAATAGAAGATGCATTATTGTTATGCATTAATGGTAACGAGTTCATTTTTCATAAAAATGGCACTATCGGATCTACAATACGACATATATTAAATAAAACATATGGGCCAACTAACAAACTTTACAAGAATCTAGACATTATGAAATTATTTATTTTCAATAAGAACGAATTTTATCGATTTAAACAGAATAATACGTAATTATATAATTTATAAAGCAATAATTAGTTTATTTTTTGTATACAGACAAATATTAACAATTTCGCTAAAGAGTAACGCCAACATTTAGAAAGAACTATACATTTTTATTTATAGAAATCATATATCGAAATGTTTTTGTGATAACAAATTTTAAATACTATAAGAAAACAAATAATTGGACAGATGAAGGGTTTTAAATGAATGAAATTCTCATGATTGGAATAATTAATTAATTTTTATTTTAAAAATATAGAAAGAGGCAGAAATTATGGTCGGAATATGTAATAAAATTAAAAACCAAAAATATATGATGAGTTAAATAGAATGGTCCATGGGGAGATTAAAGTGAAAAGAGAACCAAAAGCCAACAAACAAGAAGGAAGTAAAGAGACAGCAAAAGGTGTAAGAGAAAAAACAAAGACCCAACTGGATTTTGCCATTTTTGTGAATATTTTCTTGTGAAATCTTATAAATGGTCCCTTTTATTGTTTTTCATTGTTTTTTTATTGCCAAAGTGCATTGCATTTGAATTTATTTTTAAATTTCAAATAAAAGATTCGAACATTTTCTATATTTTTAAAGAAAAAAAAAACAAATTGCATAGGCTGTAAAAATGTGACCACAATAAATAATTTTTATTATTATCTAAAAATGTTTAAACTCTAAAAAATTAAGTTTTAGTTAGCATTAGATAAAGTCACCGACGATGCCTGTGGTTGGTAATAAATGTGTTAATGTTAAGTAGATATAATATCATTTAAAGGTAAATTACTATATTTGTGTCAAATAATATGCTATCAAGAGATCTACCCTAATAATATTGCAATATATGTGTGTGTATATATATATATATATATATTATATGAATTACAGAAGTAAAAAAAATGGCATTGAAAAGGATTTTTAAAATTAACAAAATTCAAAAATTATAAATTCAATTTTTTTAACCTTTTAAAATTATTTAATTGAATAGATTTAAGTTATTTGATTTGATAAATTTACTACGGAAAATCTCAAAACTATTCTGTATAAGCCATATAAAGTAATATTAACCCAAGTCGTTTTATCACTGAGACCATAACAAACAAGGATATAATTAATAACGTCATTAAATTTATATCGATATAACAGTGTATATAATATTTACTTATTTGTTAACTGAAGGAAGACGTTGAGTAAATGTAAAATTATTTAAGCATATAGTGTAATATAAATAGAGGATTAAAAGGATTGTAGTGTATCACTCGCATGTTTTATTTATTTATTATTATTATTATTTGTAATGATAAATGGTGATAATATATATAACAAAATTAAGACAAGTCACAAGATGAAAATGGAGAGTTGAAGACAGGCCGCGAGCAAGATCTGAATCTAAATCACGTTTTGATTAGAATATAGATTAGGTCAGAGATCTCATCACATGTCGAGTGGCCTAACACATGTGTCTTTGTGCTTATGTGGTTTGATTAAGAGTTTCTTAATCGCTTAATCACGCCATTATGTGAATGCTAACAACGGGACGATTGTGATCTGTGATGGGCAATGTATATATATATATACATATATATATATATATATATAGTTAATTTTTTTTGTCTGTATTTCGGATTTTAAGTTTAAAATTTTCCACTTGGTCCCTTGTGGGTACACACTAGGAGAAGCAATCCAAGAATGTAATTGGTGTCAATAAAATACTTAAGTGTGGAAAAGAAATGGAGGTCGATTTATATTATTCTTTATTATTAATACGAGGGGAGTCTGACAATTCCTCTCTAGCAAGAGGTTGTGGGTTCGAAACCCATGTATGAAAACTTTTTTTGAACCGGTCAGTTTTAAGAGGCTGGTTTACCTGCTCTGCGTGGTTTGTCGGCTACTGCATAGGAGTACAGTGAGTTTTCTTAGGTCCGCGATGCTGTCCTGATATCGTTCTCGTCCGGTCCATGGGTTGAGAGGTGTTGCGGTGTCCGATGTCCGACCCGAAGGATTGTAGGATAGGGGTTTCCCATCGTAACAAAAAAAAAGAAAAAAAAATGGGGTTCGATCAAAATTTATATTATTCTTTATTATTAATTTGACGATCCAATGCATATATATATATATATATATTATATTGGCGATAATGTATTTTTTTTTTAATTTCTCATGGGTGACCATGTTAATAAACATTCATTGGTTGCACCAATCATGCATGCACTACACCCCTGTCTTAAGAAGACAAATATATATACTATATACTATACTTGCAAAATAGTAAGTCTACATCCATGTCTACTAAAATATAACTATGAGTACACATCTTATAAAAAACCCATTCTATATGAAATTTGACCTTACAATTTTTTTTCTTCATATAATTCAAATTGAGATCCATATTTAAATTTCTTTAACATTAGTATATTCTTTTAGGCGAGCCAAAACATATATTACAAAAACTTATATGTATGTTATGGTATGGTATGGTATGTATGTATGTATGTTATGATGTGAAATGGGGCCCAATACGGTGTTATAAGAGGGGAACCATCATAAGGAGCTTTAGGGGGTGACAGGAACCACACGTGCATGCTCACCCCTCGAGCCTATGGATTTGCACACCTAATCCATCATGCATTACATGTACTTGAAGAATACAAAAAAAATAAGATAACACAATGCAATAACCAAAAAATTTAAATTTAAATATAGTGTTCAATTATTGATATATTTACGTTACGTGCCTCCAAAACAAGATTTGTCACTTTGTCCTCCCCTTTGAAAAGATATGCGCCCCTCTCTTTTCAATTTATCGTTATGTGTTTTATTATATGATTTGCCTTTAGTACTACTTTCATATAATAATAATAACAACAACTCTGCATAATCTAATTATTATTTATTCATAATTTTCATTCGGAAATTACTGCAAAATATATTTTACTTTCATCATGAATTAAAAGAAAATTATTTGTATATATATTCTTTGCTTAGGCAATAGTGTTTGGCCATCTAATCATCACTTACCAGATGACACATATCTATACACCCATATAAATAAATATGTGTATATATATACGTGTGTGTGTGTGTGTATTTGAGATATGTATTTACCTTTATTTTCTCCTTTTCCACTCGTTTAATTTTCTCAGCTTTTTTTTTACCTTTCCGCTTGATTTATCTTTTTTCTTCTTTCCTCTTTTTTTTTTCCTGTTATTTTAATATTTGGAATAATGATATTTTTAGCCTTTTTATTTGCCTTTTTATTATTTTTTTACCATGGCTTTTGTGAAAAGAAAAATAATATACATATAAATATGACGAACTTTGGACTATACCTAATCTGCAGTGTGCTTTTAAAAACTGAGATGGCTTAGTGGAGAAGATGGGCTTTTGCTGTCAACTAATCAATTGTTTTAAGATTTAATTTTAAAAAATCGAGATATTATTATTACGTGTAATCAAATAATATAATAGTGTTATAAAAGGGGTTTAATGTAATGGAAGGTCCATATTAGAGGGTCAAATATTCTTTGGTCCCTTATTTTTTCCTTGTTTCCCGGACTCGGGTTTCGCTTCTCATATTTCTTTACATAACTTAACACAAATAACATATTTTTTTTTGTTAATTTTTTTTTCCACAAATAAAAACGGAATAGTATAAAAATGTATGATTGAAAATATGTTATATATTAATTATATTATGCCCAAAAAAGAAGAAGGTCGAAAGATATACGTAGAGGCTCCTTGTCTTATGCCGGGAGACTTTCTCTTTAAACAAAGAAAACTATCACTTGCGACAATAATGCCGAGGCCCTCGTATTTTTAATATTTTTTTATCAACGGTCAAAATTAGAATGCTAATTAAAGTCGGTCTTTACATCGTGGGGCCCAATGTGTAAGCCCAAAACTTCCATGTTGGGCCCAACTCTCAATGGCATAACAAGAGATATGTACAACTGTTGCGTGTTTCAACATTTAAAAAAATAAAAAATAAAATAAAAGAAGATAATCAAAGTTTGATAATCTTGATTAAAGCCGGTTCCAAAGTAGGCAAAATCTTTTAACATAGCGGGGCCCATTTTATAAGCCCCAAAATTCTATTGTGTGTAACCGTGTTTCAACAATTTGTTTGGAGGAAAAAACAATAATTAGGTGGCCATCTCGGATTCGGATTCGATTTGGTTATATTTTCGGATTCAATTATTTCGATTATAAAAAAGCTATAATCACTCGGTTTATATATAAATTTCGGTTCAATTCGAATTCACTTTTAATATAAAAAATTATTGTTTTTCGGTAATTTTTTTAATCGATTCGGTTTGATTTTGATTTTTCAGATTTAGAGAAATCGGTTATTATATCTCATTAGGATTGGTTTGACAAATCGATGAATAAGCAAAATGACATCGCTAACAATAATCATAAAGAAAATCACTTGGATAATTGTGGTTCAAAGCTAAACCAAAGGCATTTGGTTTCTAATTAGGGCCCATTTGGTAAAATTTGACGTTAGAAACACAATAGAGACAAGCTTATAACAAAACTGATCCCATTTCCATCTTCTTCTGTTGCTAAAGGAACATCACAGAGAAACTGCAGCAAACATCATCATCAAGCATTTTTCTTTCTAACATGATCAAGGACAAGATCTTTAATACGTCTTTTCTCGTAAGCTCATCTCCCGAAAACCCTTAGCACGGAAGACGTGAGGGCGGAACTAAGAAACTTCATGCTGGATGATCCGCCCGGGAAGTAGGAAATACAGTAGTAACCCAGTGCTAGAACCTGTTGATTCATGGAGCAGATTGTCAGCATAATTCCTGAATTCGACATGGATGCTCCAAAGCAATAGCCGTTATGATTGTTTTAGACCGATGATGAATGAGAAGAGGGAAAGAACAGTTCATGTTATTCTACGGTAATCTGCAAATACTATGGTTTGATATAGTTCAAGATAAAGCAGCAGATAATCCTAATTGATCCATCATATTTCATAACTTCATGTCCAGAGAGTCTAAAACAGCTATCATGTTCGAAGCAAGAACTAGAGAGGAGAATTTGCAAACATGGATAGTGTATTGTAGATGAAGCCACGTACTTACCTGCAACACAGAGAAGAGCACGGAGAGGATGTAGCTATGGAGGACCATTGAGACATATATGGTACCAACCATTGTGCCAATGAAACCTAGGGTTAAAGGAAGTCTCTGGAGAAAAAAACAACAGATAACAAAAAAAATTGGCAAGTGATTTTCAGACATGACAGAAGACAAGATTATGGTTTGGGGGATGATATACCTCTTTTGATGACATATGTGAAAGCTGATTCTGTGGGCCACGGAGAGCAAAGAAGGATCCGATAATGAATCCGCATCCGAGGGTGAAACAGATTGCGAATTTCTGAGGCATAATCACCATGACCGGAAGGAACATTGTAAAAGCAATGAAGATGAAGAATACACCGGTTGCAAGAAATAGACCAAAATACATCAGAGCTTTTCCCGAAGACATACTGCTGGTCGCCGACTGCAGATTCCCGGGTAGATCTCTAACTCCTTTTGAAACCCTGAAACCATTTGGGTTCAGAGACAATGAAACATAAAAATGGACAGATGAACATTTTCACTTATAAACACCAATATAAGGGCACACATACAGTTCGTCAAGCAGCTCTGAACATAACAGACATCGATCATCTTACAAGGTCCATAGTTCCGGCTCAGGGCAAATGTAAGCAAACGCATCAACCTAAAGTTCTAGGGACGATCTAAAAATCTGAACTCTGCTCCCAATTCTCTTAATTTCAGCACACTTCTACAACTCTATACAATGATTATCAACAAGAGAGCTCCTTTCATGGAAGATTCGTAACGATATACCAAATACCTTTGATGATGCAGTAACTGAAGAACTTATCAGAATCCTTCGCTATGAAGAATCCGAGTATGAGCAGTTCTCATCAAGAAATCTACCAAAGTAGCTCTTCTCCACCACAAATAATCTAAATCGCAATTGCCCAGATTCAGATTCTCAGTCTACTGCACTGATTCACGAGCACCCAGATTCTCACGAACACACACAAAATCTCATATTCCCAAATTCAAATCATTAGATAAACCCAAAAGAGCAGCGGGATCCATCGAAAGGCCCCCCAGATTCGAGAAGAGATCATAAGGCTTACACACTGAATGTGCCGGAAACAGTGTCGTTGGCAGATCTAACGGCGGATTCGATATCGAACCCGAAGCTTCCGCCTCCTCCGGCATCAGCATCTTGCGATGCAGCGTATGAATTCCAATCGGCGAGGAGAGACGTCCCCGTTTGCTGCTGATCTCCGCTCATCGAAAACCACCCTTGCATCTCTAGGTTTCTAAAATTTCCCAGGAAAATCAAACAGCCAGAAAAAAAAAACAATCGTAGAACGTAGAAGAAGAAAGGAATTCGAATTCGAATTCGAGCTCGAGCTATTATATCACGTTGATCTGCGAATCTCTCGAAAAGCGTCTCTTCCCGGTATTTAATCTTATATGAGGGTATGTATGTACGTATATATATATAAAGAAAATAAAAGAGAAATATTTAGAAACGTTCTTCAAGCATTTCTCTTTTGAGATTTGCCAAAATTCCACTACGAAGAACAAACCCATCAAACTCAGTAATGATATAATGGTTTCCCAATCAATCAAACCTAATTTTAATATGAATGGAAGTGGAAAGCAGATACACACATATACACGCATGTTCATCTTCCAAACTCCAAATCCGAGGTTTTTGTGGCAGTGACAAGGCAAAACACCATAACCAAGGTCAGAAACTCTGCCAAACAAACGACACAGTTATAACACTTTCAAGAGCTGAACCTCAAAGACCAGCGGCTCTTTGGCATGAGACAGAAGGCTACGACGTGGTCCAAACTGCATTCACAACACCACATAGACAGAATGGAATATGATGAGACAGAGCGTTTGAGATTGAGATGTAACATTGGCCAGATGGCATGAGGTAGAAGGAAGACGAGGTTACCTCTTCGGGGATCGGCTTCAGTGTCTCCTTTACGTACCCTTCAGACGGAGGTATCAAAGCTCTACGCTTTCCTGGGCCAAATATATGGGAGAGAATTTCGTCACAGGAACAGGAAGTACATCAAAGGACCAGAAAATTGTGGTGGTTTTCCGGTTTTACCTCCAACTCTCATGCCCATTAAGACTTCCTTCAAGCCCTTTATGATCTGCCGTGAAAAGAAAGAAAAAGCTTATTCCTTTCGATCACCATATCACATTATACACAGATAGGCAACATGTCGTATATAAACTCCAACTCCAGTTTATGAATGCTGGGTTGAGGGGAAGTACTTGGTCCTCATCCAACGGAAGTTTGACAGGAGAGCTCTCTCCACTGAATTGGTCCACAGTACTGGATTAAGACATGAGAAGTGTTAAAAGGTACCAACTTTGCATGAAATATATAGTACAGGATCTGATGGAGATTCCACAGGGCCATGAGGGTTTATCATGAAATTACCTATGAACAAAATATCCATTTGCACGCCTGCAAACATAGTTCACCTCAACCAGGTCACCTTCATGAGCTTCTGGTCCTTCCCCTTCAAGAATCTCTGCGAAAGGACAACCACAAGTTGAGAATCCAATACACAGACAACAAGGCAGAGTATCCATCACTTCCTTTTCATTTAGACAAGTATCCTAATCCTGACCTTGTCAGAAAATCTATTGTGACCATCTGTGATATAGTTTTCCATCAAATTAACATCCGCGAGAATCTTGCCACACCATGGTTATTATATTGTGTAGCCACAGTCTCAAGAATAAACCACCTACGGGAATCCTAAGCTCAATAGATCTAGTTTTGTTGGAGGCCATAGAGCACTTTGGTTTCCATCCCAAGCCAAATTCAATCCAGGATCATCAGTCTTTGCTTATTTCTATGTGTTCTATAGTTATCTGAAGAAACAGAACAAGCAGCAGAATCCTCTGACAGGGATAGTACCTTGAATTCGCACACCACTAGGGAGCTTCAAAGTCCTGGGTTCTTCAATCACCAAACAAAGTAAACATAGGATGAGATATTTAATCCAGGAACTATTGAACAAGCAACGAGTGGAAAGAAATTCTTCTTCTCCGTCTTCATATCATCCAACTTTCTCACACTGCAACTCAATCCAGTTCATAAGTTAAAAGATAATCCTTTCCCACGTTGCATGGCCTTTTAGATCTTTTGCACCATGGATGACATAAAACACATTGAAAGGGAAGCCCAAATGATCAGAGTATGATCAAATTAACAACCTCTCTCCTCAGTACAAAGCATGAACATGGCGCGTAACGAGTAGAGCTATTACAATTCACGGTCTAAAGAGAGTTCATTTCGGCTAATTCAGTAATAGAACAGCTCAAAGACGATACTTGTTTTACCTAGTCACTTCAGGTTCCTTCATCTCAGCCGCCAAACCAGGAAGATCGAGGAGCGACAGGACCGAACCCAACCCAGAGAGCTGCAAAAACATCCTACGCGGAAACTCTACGGTCTTAATCGACGAGAATCGAACACGAAGCATTCCGGAAATTCCATTCCTAGAGTTGTTCGACACACTGCTCAGTTCAATCACCGGCAACGTCACTTCCAAATCCCAAGAAAGCCAAACCAATCAAATCAAATCCCACAATCAACAATGCCATAACGAAGAATTTGAATCTCACCTTGGAGGCGAGAAAGGACGAGGAAGAAGATGAACGATCTCCATTATCTCCGTAGCCGTCGATTTTGGCCACCCCTCCAGTTTGTGGATAAAGACGCTTTATTTTTTCTCTTATTGTTTTTTTTAACATAAAAAACTCTTCAAAATATATAGTGTTTTTAAAATTTAAAATTTATAGATTTATAAATAAATAGTACATATATTCACGTATTTTTTTTGGTTTGAATGGAGATTGATACACGCGCTCTCTTGGCGAGTGAGTTTACATTTCCCATTTCACAGAAGGATCTAGAAACCCTAGAGAATCCCACTATATAATCTTCAATCGTTCCACGTCAAGCATCTCTCGCATTCTGCTTCAAAGGGAAATTCACTTCAATTGTGTCGATCTATACTTCTTCGTCTTCCGTTGCGAAACCCTAGAGGTCGTTGTGGTTCGGAGATGGCGGACACTGAGACGTTTGCCTTCCAGGCGGAGATCAACCAGCTGCTCAGTCTTATTATCAACACCTTTTACAGCAACAAGGAGATCTTTCTCCGTGAGCTCATCAGCAACTCCTCCGATGTACGTATTCTCTCCATCTCTCTCTCTCTCTCTATCTCTCTAGCTCTATGTATGTGTGTGGATTTGATGTGCTTGTGAGAAAGTATGCATTTCTGCTCGTTAGGTCTACATGTGTGAGAGTGTAATTGCGGTAGCTGAGTGGGTTATAGGTTTGTAGGTTACGTTCTGACGATAATCTCCGTAGTGTTGATCAGGGATTCATTTTAAGTAGGTTTTGATCGGAATTGGAGTCTGGGGCTTGATTGAGCTAATATCTGAAAGACTAGGAGTAAGAATTATTCGATAATCTTTACAAAGTGTAACCGCAGTGATCTAACAATCATAGTATCGAATTGCCTTTTGTTGTCGGTTATGTTCTGACCAGTGGCTTGTACTCGTGAATTTATTCGTTTGACCTGGTTACCCTTCATTTCTCATGAACAGGCTCTGGACAAGATTAGATTTGAGTCTTTGACCGACAAGAGCAAGCTCGATGCTCAGCCAGAGCTCTTCATCCACATCATCCCTGACAAGGCCAGCAACACCTTGTCTATTATTGACAGTGGGGTCGGGATGACCAAGGCAGGTGAGTACTAATGTTGCAGACAGAGCATGAAAGATTTTCTGCTTTTTTGTGGCTGACTATTTCATATATCTTTCCCTGATGTTCTGTTGTTGTGTTGTGCAGATTTGGTCAACAACCTCGGTACGATTGCCAGGTCTGGTACCAAGGAATTCATGGAGGCATTGGCAGCTGGTGCTGATGTGAGCATGATCGGGCAGTTCGGTGTTGGTTTCTACTCGGCTTACTTGGTTGCTGATAAGGTCGTTGTCACAACAAAGCACAACGATGATGAGCAATATGTGTGGGAGTCCCAAGCCGGTGGGTCCTTCACAGTGACCAGAGATACCTCTGGGGAGATCCTTGGTAGGGGTACCAAGATTACTCTCCACCTCAAGGAAGACCAACTAGAGTACCTTGAGGAGCGTCGGCTCAAGGATTTGATCAAGAAGCACTCTGAGTTCATCAGCTACCCGATCTCTCTGTGGGTTGAGAAGACAATCGAGAAGGAGATCTCTGATGACGAGGACGAGGAAGAGAAGAAGGATGAAGAAGGAAAAGTTGAAGAGGTAGATGAGGAGAAAGAGAAGGAAGAGAAGAAAAAGAAGAAGATCAAGGAGGTTTCTCATGAATGGTCTCTTGTGAACAAGCAGAAGCCGATCTGGATGAGGAAACCTGAGGAAATCACCAAGGAGGAGTACGCTGCTTTCTACAAGAGTCTTTCCAATGACTGGGAAGAGCATTTGGCCGTCAAGCACTTCTCGGTTGAAGGACAGCTCGAGTTCAAGGCAATTCTCTTTGTCCCCAAGAGAGCTCCGTTCGATCTGTTCGACACGAAGAAGAAACCCAACAACATAAAGCTCTATGTCCGACGTGTCTTCATCATGGACAACTGTGAAGAGATCATCCCAGAGTACCTCGGCTTTGTGAAGGGTATTGTCGATTCCGAGGACTTGCCTCTCAACATCTCGAGAGAGATGCTGCAGCAGAACAAGATCCTCAAGGTTATACGCAAGAACCTGGTGAAGAAATGCATCGAGCTCTTCTTCGAGATCGCTGAGAACAAGGAAGACTACAACAAATTCTACGAGGCGTTCTCGAAGAACCTCAAGCTCGGTATCCATGAGGATTCCCAGAACAGGACCAAGATTGCGGAGCTGCTCCGCTACCACTCCACCAAGAGCGGTGACGAGTTGACAAGTCTCAAGGACTACGTGACGAGGATGAAGGAAGGACAGCAGGACATTTACTACATCACTGGCGAGAGCAAGAAGGCCGTAGAGAACTCCCCTTTCCTCGAGAAGCTGAAGAAGAAAGGGTACGAAGTCCTGTTCATGGTCGATGCAATCGACGAATACGCGATCGGACAGCTGAAGGAATTTGAGGGGAAGAAACTCGTCTCTGCCACCAAGGAGGGTCTGAAACTCGAAGAGTCCGAGGACGAGAAGAAGAAGAAGGAAGAGCAGAAGGAGAAGTTTGAGGGTCTGTGCAAGGTGATAAAGGATGTGCTGGGAGACAAGGTGGAGAAGGTTGTGGTCTCGGACCGTGTGGTGGACTCACCGTGCTGTCTGGTGACGGGAGAGTACGGATGGACGGCCAACATGGAGAGGATAATGAAGGCACAGGCGTTGAGGGACAGTAGCATGGCGGGGTACATGTCGAGCAAGAAGACGATGGAGATAAACCCGGAGAATCCCATCATGGATGAGCTGAGGAAGAGGGCCGATGCCGACAAGAACGATAAGTCGGTGAAGGATCTTGTGCTGCTGCTGTTTGAGACGGCTCTGTTGACATCGGGGTTCAGTCTCGATGACCCGAACACGTTCGGGAGCAGGATCCATAGGATGCTGAAACTCGGTCTGAGCATTGACGACGAAGCTGGGGAGACCGAGGGGGATGCCGACATGCCTCCACTTGAAGACGACGCTGAGGCTGAGGGAAGCAAGATGGAGGAAGTCGACTAAGTCTGATATCACTGGTGCAGTTTTTTTTTTTAATCGTTTTAAGACAATACCCTTTTCTTTTTATCCTCCCTTTCCAAGTTGAGAAACCTTTGTCCGTTTCGGGTTTTGTAGCTCAACTCTGCTGCTAGTTGCTGTTGTTGGCGACATTTTATCGCGTAATCTCTAATTCCGAACGATTCCTGCCGGTTTCTTCTATTTGGGCACATGCCCTTCCCAGACTGTGGTCCGTAGTATAAAACGTTACATGGTCGGTAAGCTTTGTTATTCATGAAACTATGGAAATTACTCATCTATGTTTGGGGTCTAGCTATGCCTTATGTATCTCTTTAAAAACTAAAAATTCAAGAATTTAGTTTTGATTTCAGACACGCACGCCCTGGACAGCTATATTGGTGATGCAAACATATATATGTATATATATTGTATACAACAGCGCAAGCAACAAGGCATAAGCTAAATTTCACCTCCGGTTTTCAAGTTCATGAGCAATTTTTTTTCTCGGGCAATAATAATAAGCTTTGGTAGACATTGCAAAGATTCGGAATGTATCTACAGATGCAAATGGGAATAAAATAAAAATAAAACAACAAACAAATGTGCAGAGAGAGACAACAAAAATCTTGAGAAAGAGCTTGTTTTTTTTCCCCAAACGAAAATAAGACAACACAAAACAAACCTCTCAGATGCATCAGGTGTCCTCAACCTGGGAATGGAACACAAAGCTCGGGAAAGTGGTCGTGATATCCCTGCACAATCACCCACCACATTAACACCCAATCACCCCAAGAAACAACACACCCACATGGTCCGAAGAGAAGTGTTTTGGCAATTTGGAGAGGAGACTCACTTGAGATACTGAAGAGTCATGTTCTTCAGAAGGGATGGATGCCTGATCACAAGGTTTCTCCACTCCTCCTTGTCTATCTTCCCGTCGTGTTTCGTGTCCGCTTCTTCGAACGTCTGCCACATGTCACTTTCACCCTCTTCAATCCAATCTACTGTCCATAACCAACTATGGAGAATACACACACACACGTATATATATATACACGTGTATGTATATGTATAGCATTGTAGGGAGTCGTACCTTGTCGATTATACTCTCGATGACTTCATCAGACAGGTTCATCCCAGACTCGGCAAGTGTAGCCACCACCATCTGCTTCACCTCCTGCCTCTCTATGAAGCCTTGCTGCTTCAGATCATACAGCTGAAACGAAACTGCAAATACGGTTTTCATTAATAAACACTCACACCGAGAAACCCCATCGGAGGAGATTTTGACTCGGTTCCTTTTTTTTTAAAGATAACTAATAACTTGAGACGCACAGTCGATCTTATCGTCTATAGGCGCATTTGGATGAAAGACAGAGAGCGCGCGTGCAAACTCCTCAAACCCCAGTATTCCATTGTGCTTCGTGTCGAACAAGTCAAATACCTGTGGTCAAATGCTTTTTCATGTGTCGGGTCTTGATAAATGACTAAGTAGAAAATAAAACACTTTTGGCAGAGATACGTACCCGATCGGCAAACAAGCTCTCTTTTTTATTCGTCTTGAATAAGGCCAACTGAAACTCTTCCTAGAGATATAACAATAACACAACATTATGAAGCAGTTGGGGAGAAAAACCCAAGGAGGAAGATTATTAGGAGCTAATAATAAGCACATACAAATGGGAAAGATTGTATTAATCATACCTTGTTTATCAGGCCATCATCAATCACGGCGCTGCTGATTTTCTTGAAGAGCTCATAAAGAGCTTCTATTTCACTCACACTAACTGCAATCAAGCAAAGTTCGTTAGAAATACTCAAATTCCTTGAATGGATGACATCGACGACAAGAGTGACATACACTAGAATCATATAACTGAATCTAAACACAGTGGAAATCCATCCACGATGTGGAAATCTTGTCTTATTAACAAAAGATTGAAAAGCCTGACTTAACATCAAAGTCGATAAACATACAAACTGTCTCTCTTGCAAGCAGTTCGGGGTCTCCAAGGCCTCCTGATTGCTTGTATAAATCGATATCGAAACATCGCAAAAAGGAGGTGCACAAATGTTTGAAACCGTCTACGCACTGAGACATGATATCTCTAGTGAATCAAAACTCCCCATGCCTGTAGATAACATAATGGTTAAGAAGTTGTGTTGTGTCAGGGCAAACTCAACAAAACCTAAGGGCATCTTTACATAAACATACCTTTTAACCATCTCCTGTTTTGTCAGTAAAAGCAGCAGAGTAACGCGAAATTCGACTGTCGTTAAGAATATCTGTCCATAGAAAGGAAAAACGATCACTTAGCTTCTAGCTCACAACAGCAGAAAATGGTGACAAAGGGAATTCAAAAGCGAGACAAAGAAAAGGCAAACAAGAATCCTGATGTTGAAATCCAATTCTCTCCGACTGATCATTAAAGCCACAGTCAAATAATCATTCACGGTAGAATATGTAGACATAAAAGGGAAAGAAGCACTTCATGGAGAGAGTCTAATTTCTTTCAGCTCAACAATGCATTCTTCTCATGAACGAGATCTCACATTTATACACCTAATATGTTATCTACGCATTGCATTTCATCAATCCTTGTTGATTTAGGGCATTATTAGGCAACTTGGATTGAACAAACCGATTAAAAACCAAATTGTCTGGGAATAACCCAAAAGCGTCAAACTTTACAGGAAATTATTTTTTGAGGTATCAATATCAATAGGTCCAATTTAACAAATGAGAAACACCACGAGAAAGAGATGAAACAATCCCGATTCCCAACGAGCTCAACTGAAACACAAAACACACGGATCGAAGCTTGCCGTAAACCTCAGCATACATCAACCCAATCTCGAAACAGAACTCAGGCACGAATCCAGCGATTTTAGATTCCGAAGCGCCCGGATTCACAAACTACAAATAAAGGCAATCCGAAACCGAAGAGCACGATATGAAACGCAAAGGCAGCACAAAGGATCTGCTTGGCTGCTAAGGATTTCCAGAGAATTCGATATATTCAATTCTGGCTTTTCCTCGCGATTTTACCGGAAAACCGAACGAGAGGCAAAGCGAACGGAGAATTTGTGAGAGAGCAAGGTAAAAAGGCTTACATCACGGCCGACGAAGAGGCCTCTCCGCGGTGGCTCCGGCGAAGCCTCAGATGAAGCTTGCGGTGGTTGCGGTTGAGACGCGAGACTGATCGGTAAGCGAGGAGGAGAGAGAATTGTATTTGTTCGGAAAACAAAAACCCGGAAAAATCATAATAATCAAACTACGCAATTAAAAAAAATAAAATCAATTTTTTAAAAATTATTTACATTTAAAATATTTTAAAATAAAATAGATTTTGAATTACACGATGTTGATACAGTTGGAACCAAGGCTGGAAAGTCTCGAAATAAACCGCTGGATAAAATCCCACATCGTGCAGTCAATTATATGGCGTTGCTTCCTACGACGTCGTTTCACGTCCCGAAACCAAAATACGACAAGATTAAATTAAATATGATAATTATGACATCATATTTACTTGTCTCAGACGAGATAGAATCCAAAATCTCAATCATAATCATTTTATTCTCAGAGACTAATTACCCTTTTGCCATTCGATTGGTCAATTGGTATTTTCCAAATTTTATATAGATCTCAAGACAAACAAAAAAGTATTTACAATTTTATGGAAAAAGAATTATTTCTCCACCAATAACAGATTTATAATTTAAATCTTCAGAAATTTTAAGAACATTTATTTACCAAAAATATATATTCCACAACAGTGGAAGCAATTAATTTACGAGGAAGAATACGAGAAGAAGCGATATGACTTTCATCATTAACTCCCAAAATTAAATACGACAAGGACATTATAATGGAAAGCTTACAAACCCGGATCTTCAAACCAAACACAAACCGGAAAATCAAATCATAACCGACGGTATACAATACAACAATAATGGAAAGGGCCTATTGGGCCTTGAGAGAATCACTGAGTCGGCCCAATTTGGAAGCCAATAGGGAGCCAAGATTAGACCCGACGGACGAGCCACGTGTCAAGGCGGTGACGCGGTGGTGCCTACACCTGAACGAACCGGCGTGGGTCGTCGGAGAACACAGGCAATTCAGCCTCACCTTCCCAGACGGAGACGGCGATGCTGACGTGGCCTCGCCGCCGGCGATAACCACCTTGGGAGAAGCGTGGAATTGGCTTGTTTTCTTGGTTTCTTGCAGGGCAAGTTTCTCGGGGAGTTTAGGTTTGATCTTTGCGAGTTTCGGAGTCCAACTCTCCTGCGTTAGGGTTTGTTCCTCTCTCTCCATTAGGGTTAGGGCTCGAGGGATTTTGACGAACATAAAGAAGGGGTGTCTCTCTCTAACGTTGTTATTTATGTAACTTGTGGGACACGTAAACGATTTTGAACAAGCTAAATATAGCCTTTTGACAAAGTTTGTTGGCATGGTTCTTTAATGTTGGTGGTCATCCTTTTACCACGTGCTCACGATTTTCTTCCCGTTTCTTTTTCAAATATCAAAAATAGACTTTGATATTTTTAATTCATGTTACTGTCATCATCCATACATGATATAATATATATATATTTGGATATTCTATTAATTTACATCAGATTTTGTAAATTAGCCACGAATTTATGCCACTTATGTTTCCATGTATGAATATATGAGCATGAATTTGAAAAAAAAAATGTTTTTTTGCACGCTAATTATTTTCTTCTATATTTCATTCGAGGCTTTTGTGAATAAATTATTTGAATATATATTTATATTCGGGGCTTTTTAAATTCAGACATATACCTTAAAAATCAAGCCTTTTCCCAAAATTTCAGACATAATACAAGGTTTTTTTTTTCCAAGAATAAAAATCACTAGACAACAATGGAGGACGGACCCTGCACAGTAAAAATATCAACCAAACAGCATCCAAGCAAATGCAGAATTCATCATCTCTCCAAATGTATACAATGTTCTCTGAATCCAACCATATCCCGCCATTGAAGAAAGCTTCCAAGCTTCTGCCGAAACAGAGATCGACTGCTCACTCAGTCTTCTTCAGATCGTTTAGAACAAACTCTGCGTACAGATCCTTCAGGGCGATCACCACAGTTGTCATCAACGGTCCCATAATCGCTCCCTGCAATAGATCCAGACCCGAAAAGAATCTTTACATATCGTTTTTTCCGTTCAAGAACACGTATTCTTCGGTCAACCCCGAGCAAAAAGAACGCACCTCGAGGGCAGAGGGAAACAGAGTCATCCCGCCGATGATGCTTAGCCCGGTTAAGAAGGCGTTGGATCCCGGTATGTCGTCCTGTATCTCGGACACTCCATAGTCTATAAGCACGAGGTGGATAATGGATAAGGTCACCGCCATTATGTATCTTCCCTCCAGGACAAGCTCCAAGGCTGCGGGAACTGTCGCAAACCAGTTCGGGAAGACTGGTAAGAGAGCGCTGAGGAAGGCGAGAACGGTTGACATGTACAAGAAGTGGATATTGTACAGCCTGAACAAGAGCCAGGTGAGACATCCTTGGAAGATGGCGATTTCTGCAGTTGCGAGAAGAACACTCGAGATGGCGAGGTCAAGGACCTCGACTGATCTGATTCTTGCAGTTGGCGAGATTGGGAGCATGTTCATGACTTGCTCCGTTACTCCCCCAGATTCTGATGTGATCAGAACGTATAGAACCCAGAAGAAAACCATCGACTGAGAGACGAAATTGATGAATTCTGCTGCCCCGGAAACGATCGAGTTCCCGATCGAGAACACGAATTTAGCGCCGCCTCCTACAACCGAGGCACTGCTGGCAAATACCCGTTGTGAGACTTCCATTCCCTTAACAGCAAACCCTTTCGCCTTCTCCACGAGATCTTCCTGGGTGATTATCAGTTCCCTAAAAATCACATCGAGCTCCGAATAGATCTGACCCCATTCTTGATTCCGGACCCTCGTCCTCAAACTCAAGAGCTTATCGGTGTATGGAGATGGGGAAAGAAGAGCGG